TAACGGTGGTGAAACAATATGGACAGAGATAGGGAAAATGGTGACACAATGTGAAGTATGTAGCCAATGTCAATGAACTGTAAATGTAAAAATTGTTGAATGGGTGTATGTTTTGTTGTATATATTTTCACTAAAAAAAAGACTGTGAGGTATACATAGTCATTACACACGCTTCTTCAAGAGCTTCAATTCTGGTTAATCGATAAAAGGGAAACATCACCTAGCCATCCTTCATCCTATTTTGTGTTGGTTGGCTACCATAAATTCTTAGAGGAGGTAACAAGGGTTTAAAATTTTGGTGGAAATGCAAATAAAAACCACAATGGTTTCCTCAAATAAGTTAGCATATGGCCAGTAAGCATATGAAAAGATCCTCAACATCATTAGTCATTAAAACCAAAACCAATCCCGTTGCCTTTAAGTCGATTTTGACTCGTAGCGACCCTATGGGACAGAGTGGAAATGCCCCATAGGGTTTCCAAGGAGCGGCTGGTGGATTTGAACTGCCAAACTTTTGTTTAGCAGTGAAGCTCTTAACCACTGAGCTACCAGGACTCCCATTAGTCATTAGGGAAATACAAATCAAAATGACAATGAGAGTGTGGGGAGGGAGGGAGAGGGGAAATGACTAATTAGATAGTAGGCAAGTGTCAACTTAGGTGAAAGGAAAGACAACACACAATATAGGGGAAGTCCACATAACTGGACCAAAGCAAAGGCATAAACGTTTCCTAGACACATTCAAATACCTTAAGGGACCGAGTAGCTGGGGCTGGGGCCTGGGAATCATAGTCTTGGGAGACATCTAGGTCAATTGGCATAACAAAATTTATAAAGAAAATGTTCTACATTCCACTTTGGTGAGTAGCACCTGGGCTCTTAAAAGCCTGCAGGCAGCCATCTAAAATACATCTATGGGTCCCATCCCACCCTGGAGCAAAAGAGAATGAAGAAAACAAAAGACACAAGGAAAATACTAGTCCAAAGAACTAATGGACCACATGAACCAGAGACTCCACCAGCCTAAAATTGGAAGAACTAGATGGTGCCCAGCTACCACAAACAATCGCCCTGACAGGGATCACACCGGAGAGTCCCAGACAGAGCAGGAGATAAATGTAGAACAGAATTCAAATTCACTTAAAAAGACCAGACCTACTGGTCTGACAGAGACCAGAGGAACCCCTGAAACTATGGCCCACAGATGCTCTGCTAACTCAGAACTGAAACCATTCCCAAAGCCCACTTTTCAGACAAAGACTAGACAGGCCTATAAAACCAAAAATAGCACACGTGAGGAACATGCTTCTTAGTTCAATCAAGTATACAAGACCAAATGGGCAGCTCCTGTCCAAAAGCAGGACAAGAAGGCAGGAGGGGACAGGAACTGGATGAATAGACAGGGAACCTGTGGTGGAAAGGGGGAGCATGCTGTCACATTGTGGGGATTGCAGCCAATGTCACAAAACAATATGTATATAAATTTTTGAATAAGAAATTAACTTGTAGACACATGTGGTCCCCTGCCTGACGGCGGAAGTCCCGCCCTGCCCGGACACGTTGCCGCGTCCTTTTAAATTGCCGTCTGCCCGTTTGTAGTAGTGTCCACCTGGGTGCGAACATGGCGCACTACAACTTCAAGAAGATTATGGTGGTTCCGTCCGCCAAGGACTTTATTGATCTGACATTATCGAAGACTCAACGAAAGACTCCAACAGTTATTCATAAACATTATCAAATTCATCGCATTAGACATTTTTACATGAGGAAAGTCAAATTTACTCAACAGAATTACCATGACAGACTCTCTCAGATCTTAGCAGATTTCCCCAAATTGGATTGTTGCTAAAGATTATGTGCGACTTATGAAATATGGAGATTCTCTCTACCGTTGCAAACAGCTGAAACGTGCTGCCCTTGGGCGAATGTGTACTATTATCAAAAGACAGAAACAGAGCTTGGAGTACTTGGAACAAGTGCGTCAACATTTATCCCGTTTGCCAACCATTGATCCAAATACCAGAACACTGCTTTTGTGTGGGTACCCAAATGTTGGAAAATCCAGCTTCATCAATAAGGTGACAAGAGCCGATGTGGATGTCCAGCCTTATGCCTTTACAACTAAATCATTGTTTGTTGGGCACATGGATTATAAGTATCTTCGTTGGCAGGTTGTAGATACTCCAGGAGTTTTGGATCCTCCTCTGGAGGATCGGAACACCATCGAGATGCAGGCCATCACAGCACTGGCCTACCTTCGCGCTGCTGTTCTGTACGTGATGGATCTGTCTGAGCAGTGTGGGCATGGATTGATGGAGCAGCTTGAACTCTTCCAAAACATTAGGCCTCTCTTTATCAATAAGCCACTTATAGTTGTAGCAAACAAGTGTGATGTGAAGAGAATAGCTGAACTTTCTGAAGATGATCAGAAAATCTTTATAGATTTGCAGACCGAAGGATTTCCTGTAGTGGAGACCAGCACCCTGACTGAGGAAGGCGTTATTAAGGTTAAAACAGAGGCTTGTGATAGGCTTTTGGCTCATCGAGTTGAAACCAAAATGAAAGGAAATAAAGTGAATGAGGTGCTGAACAGATTGCATTTAGCTGTGCCAAACAAAAGAGATGATAAGGAGAGGCCTCCCTTCACCCTGGCAGGAGTAGTGGCACGTAAGAAGAGAATGGAGATTGAGGAGCCTAAAAAGAAAAGGAAGCGAGATATTGAGCTGGAAATGGGAGATGATTATATTTTGAACCTTCAGAAGTACTGGGACCTAATGAATTCATCTGAAAAATATAAGATACCAGAGATCTGGGAAGGCCATAATGTAGCTGATTATATTGATCCTGACATCATGAGGAAATTACAAAAGCTAGAAAAAGAAGAAGAACTAAGAACAGCTGCTGGAGAGTATGACAGTGACTCTGAAAGTGAAGTTGAGGAAATGATGGAAATCCGACAGTTGGCCAAACAAATTAGAGAAAAAAAGAAATTGAAAATTCTTCAATCAAAAGAAAAGAATACACAGGGACCCAGAATGCCTCGAACTGCTAAGAGGGTTCAGCGGAAAGTTTTGGAGAATGAGATGCGAAGTCTTGGTGTTGACATGGATGATAAAGACAGTGCCCACTATGCAGTCCAGGCAAGAAGATTTCGAAGTGTTACTAGGAAAAGAAAGTGGGAAGATTCTTCTCCATGCTCTTCTTTGGCCCGGAGTCGCAGTTGCTCTCGAACACCGTGTGATGTTTCTGGTCTTCGGGATGTCAAGATGGTGAAAAAAGCCAAGACTATGATGAAGAAGGCTCTAAAGAAGATGAATCACTTAGGGAGGAAAGGGGAGGCAGATAGACATGTGTTTGATATGAAACCCAAACACTTACTCTCTGGAAAGAGGAAATCTGGTAAAAAGGACAGGAGATAAGTGTCCTCTTCGATTGAAGTTGTTTGGCTGAATTCTGGGGTTTTTTGTTTTGTTTTGATTCATTTTGTTATTTGTGTGTGTGTGTGTGTGTGTGTAGTAAAATATACGAAACAAAAGTTACCGTTTTAATCATTTTTGAGTGTATGATTCAGTTATGTTAAGTACATTTGCGCTTTTTGTTTGGTTTACTTTGGTATTTCATTAAATTGGAGTAAAGAATATAAACTAAAAATAAGTAAAAAAAAAAAAAAAAGAAAGAAATTAACTTGTAGGTAAATTTTCACCTACAGCACAATAAAAAGAAAAAAAATGACAATGAGATACCACTTTACACCCACTAGAATGCCTGTGATCAAAAAGACAGACAGTAACAAGTGTTGGTGAAGTTGTGGAGAAACTGGAATCCTTATACACTGCTGGTGGGAATGTAAAGTAGTGCAGCCGCTTTGGAAAACAGTTTGGCAGTAGTAGCTTCTCAAAAGTTAGTTACCATATGACTCAGCAATTCTACTTTTAGGTATACAGGTTTCCCCTGCTATCTGAAAGTAGAGCATTCTTATGAAACCTTTCGTAAGCCAAAATGGCATAAAGTGAAGAAGCAATTACCATTAATTTATATGGGAAAAAATTTTTAGTGTTCCCAGACCCAAAAAATAACCCACCAAATCATACCAGAATAAATCAAGATAAAGCACAGATGGTCAGAGACACAGTTCCAGGCTATGATGGCTTGATGTTGAGATGCTGAGTATAGTTCCCGGGGAAGGAGCTTGGTGACGCCATTCTCGCTGCTTTGGGGGTGCATGCTGCCTCTTTAACAGCTCGCTGCAAAACATGCTGAATGCTATTTCCACTTTTTGTCTTTTTTCGTAAAAGTGAAAATCATCTTAGGATTTCTTTCAGTTAGTGAAAACAGATACTGATGTAGTGAAGCGAAGTGGCATAAAGTGAACTTTTGAAAAGCAGGGGATACCTGTATACCCAAGAGAAGTGAAAACACATGTCTACACAAAAACTTGTACATGGATGTTCATAGCAGCATTATTCATAATAGCCAAAAAGTGGGAACAATCCAACTGTCTATCCACTGATGAATGGATAAGCAAAACGTGTATCCATACAATGGAATATTATTTAGCCATAAAGAAGAGTGAGGTACTGATACATGCTACAACATGGATGAACCTTGAAAACATCATGCTAAGTGAAAGAAGCCAGTCACAAAAGACTACATATTACATAGTTCCATTATATGAAATGTCCAGCATAGGGAAATCTATAGAGGCAGAAAAGAGATTAGTGGTTGCCTGAGGTTGGAGGTGGGAGTGGCGAGTGCCTGCAAATAGGCATGAGGGAATTTTTTGTGGCGATGGAAAATGTTCTAAAAGTAGTCTGTGGTGACTGGTTGCACAACTGTTTAAATTTACTAAGACTCATTGAACTATACACTTAAAATGGGCGAATTTATGGTATGTAAACCTCAAAAATCTGGTTTTAAAAAAATCAACAGCCAGTCTAAGACTATGAATATACTTGAATCAAACAGAAAAAGTATATATATATTTTTTATTTCCGCTTTAGACCCGTCCTCCCACTGACTTGAGCTTTAACTTTGATGCCAACAAACAACAAAGACAGCTTATTGCAGAACTGGAAAACAAAAACAGGTAGGAATGAAGAAGTCAAGGCAGTTTTTAAGGTCCAGGATTATCACATATCTGATTCTCGTTTTCCATGCCAACTAGTTAGTTGACTTTTGACCACAAAGGAAAATCCTGCCTCAGTGAACATAGGCTAGCCCAGGTTCAGTAAGCGGGCTGGCCACTAATTTGTATATGTCTGCATGTTGTTTTTTCTGGTAGTCCAAAACCCTGCTATACAACCTCAGAAACAGATTCTTTTTCCCAGTGCCCTCTCCCACGCACCAATATATCCCCTTCTCACGGTTCTTTCTCTAGTCTACTTCCCAGGAGTCTTTTGCTCTATCTAGTCATCTTGTTCTGCCCCATTATGCTACATGTGACTACATGGTCTCTCATAAAAAAGCCATTTAAAGAATGGAGACCAGACAACACACTGTCATGCACTGAAAGGTAGAAACCAGACAAGAAGATTGGGCCTAATGTAATAAGCACAGGGAGAAGAAATGGCAGCCACCCATCAGTCAGGGAGATGAGAAGTTAGCACAGCATCTGCATTAGGAGACGGGAGGAATTCTCTTCTCTTCTTCCTGGAGAGAAAAAGAATGTAGTATTCTAGTTCTCATTTTCCTTCCATGGAGATTTTTCAAGTTTTTTGAGGAGAGTAGTTTTATATAACTTTTTTTTTTTTTTTTTTTTGCAAAAGATTGTTTCATTGATGGCATTTCACATTTTAATTATTTGGAAACAATCAGAACAAGACTGATCAGGGAGGTGCTGCTGAAGTAATGAGTTCTAACAGGGGGTAAGGGGAAGGGGAGCTGTGAAGCACTCCGAACATCTTTCTTCCATCCATCCCTCCCTAGAGAGATCCTGCAGGAGATTCAGCGTCTGCGCCTGGAGCACGAGCAGGCCTCCCAGCCAACCCCTGAGAAGGCCCAGCAGAACCCCACGTTGCTGGCAGAACTGCGGCTGCTGAGGTGAGTAGGAGTGCTATACCATTGTCCCCAAACTGTAATCTACTTCCATAGGAATTTCTTTCTCAGGAAACCAGGTTAATGGGATAGAATCTGTTCCTCAGCATAGCTGGTCCTTTTAGAACAGACAGCTCAAGATGGTTACTCATTCAGTTGTTGCTTCAGATATTTGGGTTCCACTATTAACCACTGAGTACTTCAGCCACCATTACAGAACTAGGTAAATACCAATCTCTCAGTGCAATGGCCAGCAGTGCAGTGTTTATACTTTTGAGAATGCTTTAAGAAGACCGTGTGCTACAGTCCATCTTCTTGTCTTGCTAATGACTCTGACTTTAGAAACTCTTGGCAGGAATAGTGCTCTTTCTTTCCTGTGACTGTATTCCCCTGGCACTTCATAGTCAGAGCAGGTCTCTGCTGAAGGGAATGGGTGCTTCATACACACAACCTCTGAGACATGAAATCAAGTGGGACTGCTTCGCACCATGGGTATGGTACCTTCCCACTTCAACATAAATAAACCATCTTAAGGATAGAGGAACTAAGGGAGTAGAATCAGAATTGAGGTAGAGAATCTAAGATACAACTATTGGAGCAAAGGAGAGTGAAGGAAACCAAAGACTCTAGGAAGAAATTAGTTCATAGGACTAATGGCCCATGTGAACCACGGCCTCTTCTAGCCTGAGACCAGAAGAGCTAGGTGGTGCCTGGCTACAACTACCGACTGTTTGGACCAAGAACACAACAGAAGTTCCCAGTTAGAATGGGAGAAAAATGTAGAGCAAAACTGAAATTCCTAAAAAAGACCTGACTTACTCGACTGATAGAGACTAGAGAAACCCCCAAGACTTTCACCCTAAGATACCCTTTTAACCTGGAACTGAAGCCACTCCCAGAGGTCACCTTTCAACAAAATAATATTTATAAAATACACAATAACAGTCATGAGGAAAGTGCACCTTTAAACATAATCAACTATAGGAGATCAAACAGTCAATATTTACACAAAAGCAAAGATGAGAAGGCAAGGAGGGGCTGGAGAACTGGATGGATGGAAACGGGGCAGGTGGGGTGGAAATGGTGAGAATGCTGATTCATTACAGGGATTGTAACCAATGTCACAGAACAATTTGTATATGAATTGTTGAATGGGAATATGGAAATTTAATTCGCTGTGTAAACTTTCACTTAAAACACACTAAAATATTTTTAAAACACAGGAAAAAACAAGAATTGAGGCAGAGAGCAACTTCAGCTCCCACTTTAGCGCTGTTTTGGAGGGAATGGGGAAGTCTTCCCAGAAGAGCGTAACATGAGAGTGATCCAATCAAAGTGATTAGGATCTTAATTCCCATCAGTCTTAGAGACTTGTGTGTGTACTCTTCTGTAAGTAAAGACATTTTTGGAAACTAAGTTTTATGACTTGATGCCTATTCTCACCAGACTTTTAAATTTCTGAATAGTGGGTTCTTTGCCTTAAGTTGCAGCATTTGACATTCCACAGTTGATAGTGTGCTTTCTTCTGGGATTCTACATAGCTAAATACCCCTTTTTGGCTTTTCCAGTGGCTTAGGTCACTTAGCCACTTCCCTATGATTTCTTTTCCTAGAGAATAGAGATTATTGTTCTTCCAGAGGTGTCCTACTGTCCTATCATCAGTAAATAAGTCATAAAGAATTTAAACTGTGCAAATGAAGATCATTAGAGGAATAGAGATTCCCATTCTCCAGAAAATTCATTTTAGTTTCTAAATTTAGTTGGGCTGAGAGTTTGGTTACTCTGTGGGCACTGTCACGTATTTGAGGTATTAGTCCAGTTGGTGTTATGCTAGGAAGGATGGGAAACAAATGCTACTGAGTCAGGCAGAGTATAACTCTAGGCTGTCAGCTTAAGATACACCTGTTTTCTTTCCCACCTCAGCTCAGGCACAAGTGACTATTTTTACATCTAAAAAAGCAAAAACTTATCATACTTGAGTCTAACTATTGCTGGAACTAGGATTGCTAAAACTGCTCAGTTAAGCTGGAGGGATCTGAAACGTATCATAGATTTAGTAGGCAAAGGGCTGAATGTAGGATGTCACATAAGGCAGCAAGAAGCAGGAATTTAATCTAAGTCCAAGGAGCATCTAAAGCCTGAGAAATCAAAGAATTTGCTCTCAAAAGCAGCTGAAGAAAGGAGAACTATTTAATAAGTGTGCTGGAACAAGTGACTGTGCATGTGGAAAAAGCATACTGGCTCTCTGCCTCATACTGTATACAAAAACCAATACCAGATGGATTAAACATAAGAGACAAAACTTCAAGAAGAAAATGTAGAAGAATTTTCTAGGGTTTTGGAGTAGAAAATAATTTTTCAGAGTTGCTAACCATAAAAGAAGAAATTGGTAAATTCACCTACATTAAAGTTAAGAAAAAAAATGAAAAAATCTCATTCATACTAGCAACAAAAACTTAATTAGGTATCTGGGAATAAATCTAACAATAATATACAATGCCTTTATGAAGTTAATTATTTAATTCTATTGATGGACAAAAATAGAAAAGATAGACAGCTTACTCAAGAAGAAATAGAAAACCTAAGCAGGCCAAACTATTTGATTTCTTTCATCTTTAACCCACAAACACATGGAAAACTCAATATGTTAAAACCATTAATTATTCCCCAATGATCTATAAATTGAGTACAGTTCCAGTCAAAATCCCAAGAGGACTTGGTTTTGGTGGAATCTGACAAACTCTTATTTTATATAGCAGTATAAAGAGCCATAAATAGTCTAAACAGTTCTGCAAAAGAATAAAGTATGGGGTACTTGCCCTACTAGACACAAAGAATGATTCTAAAGCTACAGAAAAGTTTAAAGTATACTACTGAACAACAGACAAATAGTTTAGTAGGATAGAATAGAGCCCAGAAACAAATATATGCATATATTTGTATTTAATGTGTAATAGACATGGATTTATAATCAGTGGGATTAATTATATTAGAATAATTGGCTTTCTATGTGGGAAAGAAAAAAGTAAAATTATATCCCTATATCATAACCTGTATTTATTTTTGAATTGACTTATTTATTTGTCTTTATCACCATATAAGCGTCTCATCGCTCTCCTTCCTTTGTAAGCATTAAATTTAACTTTATTAACGTAAAAAAAAAAAAAGACACATAAAGGATAAGATTCGTTTGTATATATTTGACCTCCTTCTGGTTTTGAACAATGTATATGGGTCCAGGAACTGCCAATACTCAGCTAGTATAATAAAGCAGGTGATTGAGTTTCATCTATACGGCTAGTAGTTATGAATTCTGCCCACCAGGTTTGTCTGGTCCCCCTTTATTATTATTTTTAATGGTATGCTTTTAAAACAATATATGTGAAAAATGTGTAGGATATGAAGCATAATAGTAAAGTGAATACCCATGAGTCCATACCCAACTTGAGAACTCATATGTCAGGTATATAAGTGCCCCTCCCTTACCCCATCTCCCTGCATCTGCCTCCTCCACAGAGTTTATCTCTGTCCAGAATCTAGTTGATCATCTTCTTGATTTTTCAGCAATATTGGCACTGATAGATGTGTTCCTGTATAATAAAGTGCTTAGTTTTGCTTTTTTTTTATTTTTTGAGATTTATAGAAATGTTATAGGTAGTCTTCTGGGCACTTCCTCCCCTCCCCCTTCAATATTACTCTTCAGGGTATGTAGTTGTAGCTCATTCATTCTCACCTTGTATTATAATTATTTGGTCACGTACAGCACAAGGAAAGAGTGCCGCATCCAAGCTCCAGGAGTACAGGGAAGGACGATTCCTAGAAAAGATGTTGACAAAGATCCCATCCTTATAATCTAGTTTGGAAACAAAACATAAAATAATTTAGTAGACAATTAACTAATATTATATAATGGTAATAAGCAGGATGGGTATTATGTTATAAGAAATCTGAGTAGGGAAAGTATATGTATATAGGTAGGGAGCAATTAGACCCATGGAGATGGTAGACGTTAAGCTAGACCACGAATGATAGGTATGGTTTGGATAGGATTTAGGACAAAGCATTTCAGATTGGAAGTGGAGTTGGGAGCTCAGTATGATTTCCCAAATAAGTATGGCACGTTTCAGAGAGGGGAAAGAGACTTGATGCTAAGAATTTGTTTTCAATCATTCATTGAATTATTCTTTAGAGTGCCAGTGATAGGAAGTAAAATTAGTTAGGTAATTGAGACTAGATTCTGGAGAGCATTAAGTGATAGGTCTTAGGAAATCCTTGGTGGGTTTCAAATGTTAATGATTTCATTAAATTCACTATATGTTAATCAAGCACATACTGAATGAATGGTATTCTTTTAATCCTTCACTACATAAAAAGATGAGTAAGACTCATCCCCTGACCTCAAGGATTTTGCATCATAGAAGGAGTGACAGCAATGCAAGGTAAAATAAGTGCCCCAGAAAAGCACAAAATGCTTTTGTGATTAATTAGGCAGGACCTGATATGTGCTGAAGGAATCAGGAGCAGCTTCCTATAAAGAATGATGTTTGGGACGAACATTGACGAACAGATAAGATCTTGGAGAGAAACGGGAATGGCTATGAGTTGTGAAATGATGGGGTCTGTTTAGGGAAAAGTGAGCCATCGACTGGAGTTTCAGACATGAAAGGGTATAGGAGGCACTAAGGATAAGAAGGTAGGTGGAGTCTAGAGCAGCAATCTCCAATAGAAATACGATGTGACCCCAGAGGTAATTTAAATTTTTCTAATAGCCACATTGAAAAACTAAAAAGAAATAGATACCATTAATTTTAACAATCTATTTTATTTAACATAATATATACAAAATACTATTTCAACATGTAATTGATATTTGAAAGGTTATTATTGAGATATTTAACATTCTTTTTTTCAAGCTAAGTCTTCAAAATCCAACATACATCTGAAGCACATCTCAGTTCAGTCTAATTACATATCAAGTGCTCGATGACCAGTGTGGCTAATGGCTGCTGTATTGGACAGCGTAGGTCTAGGCCATACAGGACAAGAGTCAGTGATGCTAGAAACTATTGAGATTATTACATAGGAGGATGAAATGAACACAGCTTGCCTGTAAGCAGCATATTAGCATCCACAGAACACATTCATGTTTATTATCTCATTTGGATCTTCAAAATACTCCTTTGACATATTGCTGTTGTTATTTTTTATTAGTCCCATTGTCTTAGTCATCTAGTGCTGCTCTAACAGAAATACCACAAGTGGATGGCTTTACAAAGAGAAATTTATTCTCTCACAGTACAGTAGGCTACAAG